CGCCATGACACGTAATGTTGCAATCCCCAACACGGTGGTTACCGTAAAGGACAACCGAACTTCGTTTCCCGTCCTCAATTTCGGCCTCTCAGCGCAAGTTATTCCTCGCGGCATGTCACTTGCGCATCTTACACCACTGGTCGACCACACAGTTTCCGCTCTAACCACCAATTCGCCACCCGATTTTTCATCAACGTCGTTCTCGTCACGTTCCTGTTCCGACCTTTTCAAGCCAATGCTATCTGACAAGCTCACCTCTGAACAAGTCTCTGCTTTCTGCTGTGTGCTTGCTTCTTATCAGGACATCTTTGACTTCGGCGACCGTAATTTGGGCCAGACATCTGTGGTAACCCATCGCATCGACACCGGTGACGCTCGACCCATTCGCCGACGACCCTATCGTGTGTCAGCCCCGGAGCGTGCTATTATACAGCGAGAAGTCGATAAAATGCTTGATAAGGGCATAATCGAACCCTCATCTAGTCCCTGGTCCTCACCCGTTGTACTTGTTAAAAAGAAGGACAATAGCTGGAGATTCTGTGTTGATTACCGCCATCTCAACCATATTACCAAGAAAGATGTCTATCCCCTACCGCGCATAGATGATGCACTCGATTGCTTGCACGGTGCCAAATATTTCTCTTCAATAGACCTTCGCTCAGGCTACTGGCAGATCGCTGTGGACGACAAAGACAGAGAGAAGACAGCCTTCGTGACTCCAGATGGACTTTATCAGTTCAAGATGATGCCTTTTGGATTATGCAATGCCCCCGCGACATTTGAGCGCATGATGGACTCTCTCCTTCGAGGCATGAAGTGGACCATCTGCCTCTGCTATCTTGACGACGTTATTGTTTTTTCGACTACTTTCGACGACCATCTTACCCGTCTGTCCGCAGTGCTTGATGTTTTTCGACGTGCCAACTTGCAACTTAACTCGTCCAAATGCCGCTTTGGGCAACGCCAAATCTGCGTACTCGGCCATCTCGTTAACGCTGCGGGCGTTCAACCAGACCCTGCGAAAGTCCGAGCAGTTCGCGACTTCCCCACACCCCGCTCAGCCAAGGACGTCCGAAGTTTTCTGGGACTGTGCTCCTATTTCCGTCGTTTTGTCGAGAAGTTCGCTGAAGTAGCCCGTCCTCTAACCTGCCTCCTCAAAACGGATGTCGCATTCACCTGGGGCCAACAGCAAGCAAACGCCTTCTCGTCGCTCGTTGACATTCTCACCAATCCACCAGTCCTAGCACACTTCGACCCATCTGCCGCCACGGAGCTTCGTACTGACGCCAGTGGCCACGGCATAGGCGCAGTGCTCGCGCAGCGGCAACAAGGCATGCACCGCGTCGTCGCGTATGCAAGCCGACTGTTGTCGCGCTCGGAACAAAATTATTCCATCACAGAACGCGAGTGCTTAGCTCTCGTCTGGGCCATTGCGAAATTCCGACCGTACCTGTATGGCCGACCATTCTCAGTTATTACGGACCACCATGCGCTTTGCTGGCTCTCCTCACTCAAGGACCCTACGGGACGCCTTGGTCGCCGGGCGCTGCGCTTACAAGAGTACACTTTTTCCGTATCCTATAAATCCGGACAACTTCACAAGGATGCCGACTGCTTGTCCCGTTACCCAGTCGATCCCCCTGACACGAGGGAAGATGAGCAAGAGGCCCTCGTTCTTTCAATTACCGACTTCACCGACATAGCTGCTGAACAACGCCGCGACCCCTCTTTGCGTGCTATTATCAATGGTCTGCACTCTTCCCACCCTGACCACTCCTTACAACTGTTCGTTCTTCACAACGACATCTTGCACCGCTACAACGCCCGCCCTGATGGTGCTGAGCTTTTACTCGTTGTTCCTGTGCATCTTCGCTCAGACGTTTTGGCCCAGCTTCATGATGCCCCCTCCGCTGGACACCTAGGGGTGTCACGCACGTATGACCGCATTCGCCGCCGATTCTTTTGGCCTGGCCTCTACCGTTCTGTGCGACAGTACGTTGCGGCATGCGACCTCTGCCAGCGCCGCAAGACACCTGCTCTGAGACCTGCTGGTACTCTCCAGCCCATTGAAGTACCAGATGAGCCATTTTTCCGAGTCGGCCTCGATCTTCTAGGACCCTTTCCCGTGTCGGCCACCGGTAATAAGTGGATTGCTATTGCTACCGACTACGCAACGCGGTATGCCGTTACACGCGCCCTCCCCACCAGCTGCGCTACTGATGTAGCCGATTTCCTTCTTCATGACATCATTCTGCGTCATGGTGCTCCTCGTCAGTTGATCACCGACCGCGGCAGCTGTTTTCTATCTAAAGTAGTCGACGAGCTCCTGCGATCCTGCTCTACCCACCACAAGTTCACTACAGCGTACCATCCACAAACCAACGGCCTCACGGAACGCCTCAACCGTACCTTGACGAATATGTTAGCAATGTACGTCTCTAAGGGTCACAAAGATTGGGACATCCACTTACCTTTCGTTACCTTCGCATACAACAGTTCACGTCATGATACAGCTGGATTTTCCCCTTTTTACCTACTGTTCGGTTATGACCCGCCTTTGCCCATGGACACTATGCTCCAATCTGACGCCGCCTCATCGACTGCTTATGCTCGTGATGCCCTGGCCCGAGCTGACATCGCCCGCCAAGTCGCCCGGGATCGTTTATGTGCCTCGCAGCTTAACCAAAAAGAGTGCTTACGATCGCCGGCACCGCGACGTACAGTACTCTCCGGGGTCACTCGTCTTGCTGTGGTTACCATCACGTCGTGTTGGTCTCAGCGAAAAACTAATGTCCCGTTACGTTGGCCCCTACCGCGTCATACGCAAGGTCACCAGCGTGACCTATGAGATAGCTCCACTCCATACCACGTCAGTACCGGCTTCAGTACCGACCGATATAGTGCACGTCTTACGGCTTAAGCCATACTTCTCACGCCTCGAGAATTGATCGCACCGGGACGGTGCTTCTGCCGCCGGCGGGTAATGTCACGGGCTAAGTAGATGCCTGATGATGACGACGACGAAGTGCTGAACGGGAACGTGCTCGGACTGCAGCAGCGTCGTACGCATTAGCTCGCCAGTATATTCGCCAGTACACATTTGTTCACCAGTATATACTTTATTCCCCGTAACAATATCAGTGTACACTTGGGTGCCTCATCACTCTGAACTTACCTCTAGTCAGCGGAGAATGTGTCATCACTGAAAGCAAGCTCATGGGCCAAAATCCTCGCAAGGTGATGTTGAAGACATTTTATTTATTGAACATAATTTGTTCAACCATTTTTGTCTTACTCTGCTCATCAGTCTGTTTTTTTTTTCTTCTTCGAAAACTGGACTAAAGAGAGACCATTGATTTCCAAGCTACCCACATCCAGTCGTAACTACAGTTGCCGTAATGACAACCCCATGCGCCACCAATATGCCAGGCGGACAAATGGAAGCCTTATACCAAAAAGCAGTGATAGCTCCCGGTATGTTCAAGCTGTACGAAATTGGGTGGATGGATTGTTGTTTCTTGCTTTATGAATTACTCAGTTTACCGGAATTGTGCAGGCTTCAAAATTTTTGGACAGTGCATGTCATGGGGTGTACATAGCTACATGTCAAACTTTGCATAGAGTATCACATATAACTAGGTAACAAATGGGCTTGTAGTAGTTAATATTTAGCGGCAGTGGTAGGTACAGCTATAGTAGTGTTGAAATAGTTACTGATACTGCGTGCATGTTGGGAATGCCTATCACTGCCTTGCCACAGCACACTTGGCAAAGTGTAACAGTGCATCATAACCGTTAAATGCACGATTCAACGCGTCGTTTGCACGCGTTCGTCTTATTCGGCGACATTTCAATAGAATGAATGCCTTGATACACTGCCACGTGGTGACGTTACCCAAAGCGACGGTGTGGCTCATAGCATCCATACATACCAAGTGTAGTTCTAAAACGCATAGAGCAACACGCCTGCTTCGCCTGGACGTGACCCCGCCTTCACTTCCCCGCGTTCGCTCGCCACGCGAAGTATCGTGGCCCGCCGACACACAACGTGCGTTGTGTTTCCCTTTAAAGAATCGGGCAGTAGCATGAACATGCCGCGAGTTGACTATGGTTCACGTCATGCTTTTCCGGCTGTCACAAAGCTTTCTTTTGTTCTTCTCTCACCGTTAACTAGCTACCACAGGCATCCATGACCACAGGGGCACGTCATTAATCATCGAGTTTAGAAGTCGGGATGGAGATCTATCCTTAATATTCAAGGTTGATCCGTTTACGAAAAACGGGGCTGTCGAACAGCAACAGACATTGCATAGCCACTTTTACATCAGTCTACGGTAAACTACTTCTGTACGACATAATTCACATAAAAAACAGCGCCAATAACGAGGGACAAGTGAAAGAAGGAGACAGACCACGTTAGCTACTTCTGTACGGAGACATTTTACTTGCGCGTTCTACTGATTCCTATGACGGGGATCACCTATATTTCTTTTTTTTTTGTGCTTCCCTATAACTTCCCTCGTATGACTTCAGCCTACAACTCGTACCTCGGTGATTCGAAAAAAAAAATTGCGGCAGACGATTTGTAAGACAACAACATATTTTAACCAAGCCCTTCAACGGTTATATACTTAAAAAGGTGTAGTAGGACGACTTTGAGAAGAAATAGCGGTTGGAAATTCAATTTTTTTCGCTATACTGTTTTTTTTCACTGATCCTACTGCAGATCATCCGTTTGTGTGCAGAATCTGCGACTAAATTAAATTTATTCAATACCAGAAATGACCTGTGTTGATATCTGCATTCACTCACCTCTAAACATGACCAGGGTAGAAAGCGGTGCTACTAGGACTGAACAATATGATATTCAAAAATATTCCGAAAACTATACAGAAAGAGTTCTCTCCTCTTTCGCGAAAGCTTACGAAAATACAATAGCTTGTTGTGAAGAACTGATAGTCTGGTTGAGCGCGGACGCAAATCGACACTCAATCAGCATGCGTGTTCCAAATAAACTTTTAATACTTATCTTACATTTGATGGTAAATAGAAACAAATAATCAACTGAAGTACAGAGACTATAAAAAGGGATGGCGAAGTTACCGTGATATAGATTGCTTTGGTTATTTTGTCACAGGCTGCAGTTCAAAAAATAAAACATTACTAAATGTTATTTTTTGTACATCATCATAGACAGTGAGAACGCAATCATTTTTCAAAACTGAAATTTCCATTATATTAAATATAAGGGTTGAGGATGGCAATTCGTTACAGGAAGGTTGCAACATTTTTTTTTTCCTTGACGTTCATCATGGTTGAACGAAGTTTCATACAGCAGTCTCCGTTCAGCTCACAGGTTGATCGTCTTGCAAACGAGGACCTGATACTCAGTGTAGGAATACTCCTTGTAACCAAAGGAGACATAAAGGCGTCTTTGTGATGGATGAACCTTGCCGATAGTGAGCATGCCATTGTGCTTTGCTCTACCATTGTAGAGGGGCTCGCCGTCGTGGCTTTTGCCGCCCTGTAGGGCTCCGCTTGGCACTGCCCCATTGGATTCAGGTAGCCATGCCAAAGGAGCTCCGTTTGAGACAAGCACCTTCAAGAAAGTGGTTCAAATTTTAGTCATTTATAGTCTCCATATAACAACACTCATATCAACAGGCCGATATTACGTTGTATGTTCGAACAGCGATATATTGCCCGTAAATGAAGTGCACGGGCAAATTTACAAACTATTGTGGGTCTCATATATTTTTTTGGCCGAGTTAGTTATTGGCTCGACCAGGCCACTGATCAGGGTTTCCAGATCCTCAAAGAGAAAAATAGCCCCGAAATTACCTGAAGCAGCTAGAACAATAGCCAACCAGCAGCCGTCATTTTACTTTGGAGCCAGAAAAGTAGCCAAACGTGATTTTGGTTTAGCTGAATCATCATTGCGTTTCGACACTTAAAAATACAAACCTATACATCACAGCAATGTTTATCTCATCAAAATAGAGTAAAAATACAGATCAGGTGACTTCCTCGAGGAGGCATAATTACAACAAAAAATTGGCAGCTAGACCTCGCCGCTCATACTGTTCTTCCCACTGACGGCGAGCGACGTATATACACCATTCACCACTGGCTTACTGCCAATGAACTTGAAAGAAACTTTCTTCAACAAAGCATATACATGTCCCATGGCTTCAATGGAGGCGTGGGTTCACCGACGCAGATACAGTTGAACGAAAGGGCCAGTGCAAAACGTCAATGGCTCCACTTTCACTCTGAAGCAACAGACAAAATTACTCGCATCAAGTCCGGGACTATCCGGGAAGTTGCTGGTGCTGTCGAGCCTGTGAATTCCGTTCCCACCGAAATGCGCGCCGCCCCTATCACTGCAGAAAGACAAACTCAACTTACTGCCCCAGATGAGTGGTGGCGACGCTAGCACTGTTGATATTTTGCACTGGGCTATTCGTAATTAATAAGTGTAACTATACCTAAAAAAGAACTCGTGACCTGAAAAGACTGCTAGAACCATTTGGTACACACATCATGGTCTTCCATCCCAGTGACTGATGCCAAAGAACGAACGCCTTTCATTGAGAAGTCTGCTTTCAACGGACCAGGGTTATAAAGCTTTCTAGTGTGTTGTGGCCATGTAGTAACCATTCTGGTGTTGGGGGTCATGTCCTTGTAAAGAGCTGCTTATTTTGTGTAGTATATATACATCTCTTTTGGTTTGTACGCTGTGTGTGTTTGTACGTTACTCTCTTTTTTGTCTGCATAATATAATTTCAAAGTGGTGTTGACATTCTTTTCTCATTTATTGAGAGTGATTTGAATGGAAACGGAACAGGGTGTAACGAGTGAACTAAGTTTTATGAGTGATTGATGTTTTGTTGGGTATGTGGAAGGTGCTGGCTGCGTCAGAGAATGAGTGATTGTGGTCATTGTAGAATGTAGATACGGGCCATTTTCCGAGTCATTCTTCATTTTTCAAGAATAGCTACGCTGTCATTTTTGTAGCGTAGTCTAATTGGTGCAACAGATGCCCAGTGAAGGATTTGTAGTGCTTCTTTCTGGACGCATCATATTGTGTGCAATGTGCTGATTACATTTGTTGGCAATATTATTGTCCTTCGGCAAGTCACTCTGAATACTGCTTCATTGAATATCAAAATGGGTGACGGGAAGTGATGATTGATAGAGATAATATTCGTTGTGATTAAGTGAATACATGTGTATTTATTGGAAAACAAGGAAATTGTCAGCTGCCTGACCATTCTGACAAACTAGTGCCCGCGTTGCTTTAATTGTCTGACTGCTCTAATCAGCATGTTAAAGTATTTTATTGAGATAAAATCATATTAACTGTTGTGTTGGCAGCTCCAATGATAACTAATATTAACGGAGAGTGCAACTAAAAACAATCGCTTTGTAAGGGTCATTCCTGGTTGGCAGTCGATGCATGTTTGATTGCGATGGCTGATATCTTTGCAGACCATTGCTTTCGTGTCGCTCAGTGTGTTATTGGTTAATTTTATATTATTTTTATGTTATCTTTTACTCTATTAGCACATTCTGGTTGAAGCTGTGTAAATCTGGTGCCTTGTGTGTTCACATTAGATGGAGTGCAGGGTCATCGGTTTAACTGCAAGAGCCAATGCTGCAAATTTATGCAAACTCTGTCTTGTGCCACAAGGTAGTGCATTTCCCGTCTTCGATGCCTGCGCATCTCCTGCATATGCAAGCACTCTCAATTTTATTCTAACAACTTGAAAAAAATTGTACCTCCTTTACTAGCAGATATTATGCAAGAAAATTTACGCATCGTGGTTTAAAAAATAATTTACATATGCTTACACCATTTATACAAGAAGTATCAAGCAAAAAAAAAGAATCTCCTTGCATGTTTTCCAATGTCAAAAACCTGCTGATAAAAATTTGTCTTCAAAGTAAACTGGTTTGTGCGAATAAAAACAAAAACACGGAAAGACCGGACAAGGACAGGCACGTGTTAATGTGTCCTTGCAATAACTGCTCCAATTAGAGCTGTTATTTTGCCTGTCCCTGTCCGGTCCTCCTGTGTCCTTTTATTCATTTGAGCACACCAGTTTATTGTGAAGTATGAACTAACTCACGGAGCTGCAAGCATTACTTGAAAGGTCGTCTTGCTTCCGTTAGACAACTGGGCTCCCGACAGTCCAGGAGAACCTTTGAAAGGCTGAGTGCTTCATTTAATTTTGCAGATGGCAAGAAACAGGCAGTTAAAAAGCACGAAATCGGCATTTCGCAATGTCACTTGAAGTTGCCACAATACAATAGATTGAGACAAAGAAAGGTTTATAGGGTTTCGAACGAGAATGCATGTCGTCGTATTTGTATCCTGTGAAATGACACAGTGCCGGCATAGGGGCTTCTGAGTCAAGTTTGTGCAATTTGTTATTGTACAAGAGCAGTTGTGACTAGTGAAAGAAAATGCTTTACCCCAGCACAATACTGAAAAAAAGTGTTAGTTGTGTAAGAGTTCGATCATTTCATCGCGGAAGCAGAGCTAGCTCATTTCTGATACTCGGAGTTTTTGCTGCAATGTCAGCTTGAAACCTGAATTGCTAACCATTGAAGGCCGCCTTGATATTGTCAGTGTGCAGCTAACGCAGCTAAACATGCTGTATATTAAAGCAACCTTGCACAAACCTGTTATGAACTTGAAAGTTCCAGCTGGCTATGCTTGACTTTCTGTGGGTTTTTTGATGTTATAACAAAACGACAAAATGCGGGGTTTAAGATTACATAGGTTACGGTGAAGCAGATATGACCAGCTTCACCGCTGAAATATTATATATTATATAATAGATATGACCAGCTTCACCGCGTAGTGGTTAGAGCATCCGCCTCGCATGCAAGAGGTCCGTGGTTCAAATCCCGGTACCGCGCAGTTCCAAACCGAATAAAAAAAAATCCGCGTGTTGATGGAACTGCAATAAGAGGCCTGGGGTGCGGCCTCACCGGTAACCACCACCGGGAACACACTCCCTCACCAGAGAAGGATTGGCCACCCTGGTGCAGTACCTGGCCACTACCTCCCACATGCATACGTAAATAACTCACGGCCCTCAGTCCCCAGCAGCTGTGAAGCAACTGACCACGGCGGCGGTCAGATCTGCAACGCAGCAGAGTGTGCTAAGAATCTCTGGATCCGGACAGGCCGCCATTGGAACCTGAACTTGGCAACGCTTAACGCTAGAACCTTATCTAGTGACGGAAGTCTAGCTGTACTATTCGAGGAGCTAGAGGGTGTTAAATGGGATATAATAGGGCTCAGTGAGGTTAGGAGGACAGATGAGGCCTATACGGTGCTGCAGAATGGGCACGTCCTTTGCTATCGGGGCTTGGCAGACAGAAGAGAACTGGGAGTGGGGTTCCTAATTCACAGAAACATAGCTGGCAACATAAAGGAATACTATAGCATTAATGAAAGGGTGGTAGGTATCGTAATTAAACTGAATAAAAGATACAAGATGAAGGTAGTACAGGCTTACGAGCCTACATCTAGCCATGATGACGATTCAGTTGAAAGCTTCTATGAAGACGTGGAATCGGCAATGAGTAAGGTAAAAACACAGTATACTATAGTGATGGGCGACTTTAATGCAAAGGTAGGAAAGAAGCAGGCTGGAGACCAGGCAGTAGGAGATTATGGCATCGGTACTAGAAACGCCAGAGGAGAGCTACTAGTAGAATTCGCAGAACGCAATAATTTACGGATTTTGAATACCTTCTACCGAAAACGAGAAAACCGCAAGTGGACATGGAGGAGCCCTAATGGCGAAAATAAGAACGAAATAGACTTTATAATGAGTGCACACCCAGGAATCGTGCAGGATATGGAAGTGGTTGGCAAGGTACGATGCAGTGACCATAGAATGGTACGGTCTCGAATTCGCCTAGACTTGAGAAAGGAACGACAGATACTGATACGCAAGAAGCCAATAAATGAGCTAGCACTGAGAGGGAAAGTTCAGGAATTCAGAGTGTCGCTGCAGAACAGGTACTCGGCTCTTAGTGAGGAAACCAACCTTAGCGTAGATACAATGAATGATAATCTGACTAGTATCAATACGGAGTGTGCAGTGGAAGTTGGAGGCAGGGTAGTTAGACAGGACACTGTCGAGCTATCCCAGGAAACGAAGAACCTAGTTAAGAAGCGTCAAATCATGAAAGTGTCAAGTACAACAGACAAAATAGAACTGGCAGAGCTTTCGAAGTTGAATAATAGACGTAAGGTATGCGATGTAAGACGGTATAACATGGAGAGAATTGAACACGCTCTGAAAAACGGAGGAAGCGTCAAAGTAGTGAAGAGGAAACTTGGGATAGACAAAAGTCGGATGTATGCACTAAGGGACAAAGAAGGCAAAATAACTACCAATATGGATAGGATAGTTAAAATAGCGGAGGAGTTTTACAGAGATCTGTACAGTAGCCGAGACAACCACGACCTTAATACTATAATAACTAGCAGTAACCCAGATGACACCCCACCAGTAATGATAGAAGAAGTCAGAAAAGCTTTGGACACCATGCAAAGAGGCAAAGCTGCTGGTGAGGACCAGGTAACATCAGATCTGCTGAAAGATGGAGGACAGATTGCGTTAGAAAAACTAGCCACCCTGTTTACGAGGTGTCTCCTGACGCTAACATCATCTTAATACATAAGAAAGGAGATGACAAGGACTTGAAGAATTACAGGCCGACCAGCTTGCTCTCTGTAGTGTACAAGCTATTTACAAAGGTAATTGCTAACAGAGTAAAGAAAACATTGGAATTCAATCAACCAAAGGAACAAGCAGGATTTCAGACAGGCTACTCAACAATTGACCGCATTCATACTATCAATCAGGTAATAGAGAAATGCTTAGAGTATAACCAACCACTATACATAGCCTTCATAGATTACGAGAAGGCGTTTGATTCAATAGAAATATCAGCCGTCATGCAGACACTGCGGAATCAGGGCGTAGATGAAGTATATGTAAACATTCTGGAAGAAACCTACAGGGGGTCAACTGCTACCATAGTGCTTTATAAAGAAAGCAACAGAATACCAATCAAGAAGGGTGTAAGGCAGGGGGACACAATCTCCCCAATGCTATTTACCGCTTGCTTACAGGAGGTTTTCAGAAGCCTAGAATGGTAACAGTTAGGGATAAGAGTTAATGGAGAATACCTTAGTAACCTGCGCTTCGCCGATGACATTGCATTGCTGAGTAACTCGGGGGACGAATTGCAACTCATGATTACGGAGTTAGACAAGGAAGCAGAAAGGTGGGTCTTAAAATTATTCTGCAGAAAACGAAAGTAATATACAACAACCTCGGAAAGGAGCAGCGCTTCGAGATAAGTAATAGTGCACTTGAAGCTGTAGAAGTCTATGTCTACTTAGGGCAGGTAATAACCGCAGATCCGAACCACGAGATTGAAGTAACTAGAAGAATAAGAATGGGGTGGAGCACATTCGGCAAGCACTCTCAAATTATGACAGGTAAATTGCCACTATCCTTCAAGAGGAAGGTATATAACAGCTGTATCTTGCCGGTAGTTAGCTACGGAGGAGAAACCTGGAGACTTACAAAGAGGGTTCAGCTTAAATTGAGGACGATGCAGCGAGCAATGGAAAGAAAAATGGTAGGTGTAACCTTAAGAAACAAAAAGAGAGCAGAGTGGATCAGGGGACAAACGGGGGTTAAGGATATCATAGTTGAAATAAAAAAGAGGAAATAGGCATGGGCCGGGCATGTAGCGCGTAGACAGGATAACCGCTGGTCATTAAGGGTAACTAACTGGATTCCCAGAGAAGGAAAGCGGGTTAGGGGGAAACAGAAGGTTAGGTGGGCAGATGAGATTAAGAAGTTTGCGGGTATAAATTGGCAGCAGCAAGCACAGGACCGGGTTAACTGGCATGGGAGAGGCCTTTGTCCTGCAGTGGACGTAGTCAGGCTGATGATGATGATGATTATGATGATGATGATGATGATGATACCTAATAACTGTATATCTTGGTGTAACTATACTTAATAAATAAACTGTTGTAGTCGGAGCCTCATTACCCATATGGCTTAGCGCAACGCGAAAGAGAAAGCGAAGAAGGACGCACTCAGAGCTAGTTTGCAAGTTAACGCTTTGTATGCGTGCTTTATCTATGTGCATGTATGTCGCGCAGAGCTACGCCTTATGAATTATGAATTGCAACCCATTACGCCGACAATGTTCATTGACCAATTGAACCTTCAATTTCAGCTTTCTTATTTCTACCTGCACCACTTCAGGTGCAGAACTTAATCATTACGGCACTCCATAGACCCAAATCTGTTTTGTTCTCACCAGGTGACATACAGCTGATCGAACTGAAAACCGGACATTTTTGAGGACACAGCTTGTTTTGAAATCGTCCCATTTGTCCACCATTCGTACCTGTGCTGACGTCAGGGATCATATTCGTGTCGCTTAGCGAAATTTTTTTAGAGGGGTAGTAACATTCTTCATGAATCGCGTGAAAATGAGGAGACATACCTGGTAGTCGCGGAACATATGTTCGGCGCCGCCATGAGCCACGTAACAGAAGCGATGGAAAGGCACCACCTTTCCTGGTATCACTTCGCCCGCGTACGTGGCTCGCCCTACGTAGGTGACGTCCCCTCTCACGTCGTCACCTCCAGGCACTGCGTTCTCAGGAAGTTCGTCTCCGTGGCACGCAACCCAGCAGACTTCGAGCTTGTATTCACTCGCTGTATGAAATAGAAATTTTAATGAACACCTGAAATCATTTTTACTTGAGGTTAGTCGTTTTGAGTCCCAAGCCTAATGAAGCTTGTTAGTATTCTCAGATTTCATCAAAACGTAAGAAATGAATGAAAAATTACAAGTCTGGAAAAAGAAAGCTGCGCAAAGGCATGCCTGCGAGGCACCAGATTGTTTCAGAGTTGCTTTCCTTCCAGAAACGCTTTGCGCCCTACATCGATGCAGTTTTTGTATGAACATAACCATACAGCAACTACCGAGTATGGTACAGCTGGTGAGCCAGGTCAAAGTTTTGTAGCAGGGCATTCGAATCGGAAGAATTGAGGTCCTCTTAGTATAACGTTTCTACATTAAGGAAACAACAGCTCTATCATTTATAGACTTGATGAGATATCTCGATAACCCACTGCATCCATAAAAAGGCAACGCGAAGTAATAATCAAAGAATACATCCACCATTCTAATAAGTGTTACAGAAAACACTGAAGCGTTACTTTGAGGCCACAGTGGAGACAAAGCACGTACACTCTGAGAAGAGATGTGGTGCGAGTCATCACAGGACAATTAACAGGTGGTCGATAGAAACTTTCAAATTATTCCGAATGTCCTCGTATGTCTATATTTCTTGGTTGCACCCAGGCCTTTGGCTCGCTCGATCATATTGTCACGACGTCAAAACAGAGGTCTTGCCGCAGAGATTAAGACACCAGAAGCAGGTCGATCGTTTTTAATTAGAACGCGCAAGCGAGTTCGTCTTTTTCGTCCATTTCGTAGTCCTTCGTCGCACATGCACAACTGTCATCGTCTTTTTTGAGCAAGCACGTGACATTTGCCTCCCTCCGAAAGAAGCATCGTCCCAATGCGCAACCTAGGTGCTCTACCAGGCGTATGAAGTAATCGTACGAAAATGTTAACCGGGGGCTAATTAACTCAATAAATACGGTTTCATACGCACGACGTGCACGACTTCGGGCAAATGCTTTTGGCGCTTAGAACTACAATCAGTGTCGGGAACAACTTCGTAGTTCACGTCGTTCAAGCGTCGCGTGACGCTGTATAGACAAAAGTACCGTCTCCACAGTTTCTCAGACAGTCTACGTCGACGTATCGGAATCCAGACCCAAACTTTGTCGCCTGGTGTCTAGCTAATAAACTTGTGTCGGGTGTCGTAGCGTTGTGCATCTTAATGCTGCTGATGACAGATGCTCACGCGCGCGAGCTGTCTGGCTTCTTCGGCACGCTGAGTGAATTCTTCGGCGTCTACATGGATGTCGTCACACTCATGCGGCAACATGGCGTCCAACGTTGTCGTGACTTCGCGACCATAGATCAGACTGAACGGTGTCATTCCAGTGGTTTCTTGTCGAGCGGTGTTATAAGCAAAGGTCAAGTACGGCAATATCTGATCCCAGTTTTTATGTTCCGTGTCAACGTACATGCTGATCATGTCTGTGAGGGTCTTATTGAGGTGCTCCGTCAGACCGTTTGTCTGCAAATGGTATGCAGTTATTTTGCGGTGAGCTGTACTGCTGAGTCTGAGAACGGACTACAAAAGCTCTGCGGTGAAGGCAGGTCCTCTGTCTGTGATCACTGTTGTCGAAGCGCCACGCCGAAGGACGATGTTTTCGATGAAGAACTGAGCGGCTTCTGCTGCTGTGCCGCGCTGCATAGCTTCAGTCTCCGCATAACGGGACAGGTAATCAATGGCCACAATAATTCACCTGTTCCCTGTTTTGTAAGTTGGAAAGGGACCCAGGAAATCCATTCCAATCTGGGTGAACGGCTTTTCTGGTGCTTCGACTGGATGTAAAAGACCGGCTGGCTTGCTGGGAGGCGCTTTGCGTCTTTGGCAGTCGGTGCAAGTTCCCACGTGATGGTTAACAGCAGCAGGTAAATTTTGCCAGTAGTACTTGCATCATAGTCAGGACAATGTTCGGGTGTAGCCGAGATGACCAGAAGTTGCTTCATCAAGGCACGCTTCCATAATTTCTTTTCGAAGGGTGGCAGGCACGACGAGCAAGTGCGGGTTACCGGTTGGTGAAAAGTTTTTCTTATATAGAGCATCGTTTCGCAAGCAAAACGATGGCAGTCCTCTAGCAAATAACCGCGGCACATCTTTACGTCGTCCTTCTAAATATTCAATGAGTGGTAACAGCTCAGGCTCACTGCGCTTCTCTCGTGCAATAGTGGCCGTGTTGACGACTCCCAAGAATGCCGCATCGATGTTTTCGTCATAGGAGCGACAGTTTCCACTGGCGACCGTGAGAGACAGTCGGCGTCGGTGTGCCTCTTCTCAGATTTATAGACGACGATCATGTCAAACTCTTGAAGCCTTAGGCTCCAGCGCGCCAAACGACCAGATGGATCTTTAAGGTTGGTGGGCCAGCACAAGGAGTGATGGTCGCTAACAACCTTGAAGGAGCAGCCGTACAAATACGGACGAAATTTGATGACTTCCCACACCACAGCGAGACACTCCTTCTCGGTGGTCGAGTAGTTCTCCTTTATGCGAGAGAAAGTTCTGCTGGCGTAGGCTATTACTCTTTCACGGCCGTCTTGACACTGCACCAGAACGGCACCTAGACCTACATTGCTGGCGTCAGTGTAAAGTACCGTATGGGCGTCCTGGACGAAGTGCGCAAGGACTGGAGGTGTTTGCAGTCGTTGTCATAGTTCATTGAATGCCATTTGCTCCTGTTCACCCCAAAAGAAGGTGACGTTCTCACGTGTGAGTCGTGTCAATGGCGCCGCAATAGACGAAAAGTCCTCGATAAATTGCCGGTAATAGGCGCACAACCCTAAGAAGCGTCTCACAACCTTTTTGTCACGGGGTGCAGGAAATTGCGCTACGGCAACTATTTTGGCCGGGTCAGGTCGAACACCCTAGTGACTTACGACGTGGCCTAGGAAGCTGAGTTCATTGAAACCAAAATGACATTTTTCCGGTTTTAAAGTCAGGCCGGCCGAGCGTATGGCTTGGAGTATGGTGAATAGACGGCTGAGATGTTCCTCGAATGATGCTGAGAATACAACAACATCGTCGAGATAGACCAAGCATGTTTGCCACTTCAGACCTGATAGTACGGTGTCCATGAGACGTTGAAAAGTGGCTAGCGCCGCGCACAACCCAAAAGGAAGCACCTTAAATTCGTAAAGGCCATCAGGCGTCACAAAGGCGTTTTTTCACGATCTCTCTCGTCGACTTCTATCTGCCAGTAGCTGCTTCGGAGGTCCATTGAAGAGAAATAGCACGCATGACGCAGCCGATCGAGTGAATCGCCTATGCGAGGCAGTGGATAGACGTCTTTCTCCGTGACTTGGTTCAGCTTGCAATAATCAATACAGAAACGCAAGCTGCCGTCTTTTTTCTTGACCAAAACCACGGGGGACGCCCAAGGACTTTTCGAAGGTTGTATGACGTCATCCACGAGGATCTTCGGTACTTGCTTCTTAATCTCCTCGCGTTCTTTCGGAGCCACACGGTAGGGGTTCTGACGAATCGGTCGCGTGTTGTCTTCAGTAATGATGCGGTGCTTGGTCAATGGCGTCCGCTGGACCTTTGACGTTCGCGAAAAGCAGTCTTATAATCGGTGTATAAGTCCAAGCAGGCGCTTCTTATCAGAGGGCGGAAGCGTGGAGCAGATGTTCACCGACAAAGTTGTCCAGGCAGGGACTGTCGCGTCGTCTGGTTGCAAAGCACAGCAATCCCCGGCTTGGTCTATATCGTCGAATTAGGCAATTGCGGTACCCTTCTGGATTTGACGGCGCTCGTTGCTGAAGTTTGTGAGGAGCACTTCTGCCTGTCCACCAATAAGCGTTAGGATGCCTCTCGCGATGGAAATGTCTTGCGTGAGCATAAGAGCGACTATGTGCTCCACTATCACATCTTTATAGGAAGGCCACCCACTGGACACAGACACAAGGCAGCAGGATCTCGGTGGGAGCGTCACATCGTCGGCTATTCGCAAACGGCCGCGTAGTTCGTCGCGGCTGTCGTCGACATGCGGATGTGTGCAAAACGTCACTATACGTTGAGGGATGTTGATAACAGCGCCATGATCTTGAAGAAAATCCATGCCCAAAATTAGCTCTTTACAGCAGTCTGGCAACAGGACGAAAGTTGCCACGAAGCTAGAATCCCCAATGCGAAGTCGAGTGGTGCACTTACCCGTGGGAGTCATCAGCTGACCACGAGCAATCCTTATGTGCGGCCCTGTCCAAGGTGTCTTGACCTTTCTAAGGCGGTCGGTGAGTTCTTGTCGCATGATTGAGAAGTCAGCGCCAGTGTCGACCAGTGCTGTAACGTGATGTCCGTCAATGAAAACGCCAAGATCAGTACGTACAACTTCACCGGCATTAGTATTCGTCGTCGTATTCGTCGTCGTATTCGTCGTGGTTGACGACATATCTTCTTGCGATGATAGGGGGAACTTTTCGGTGTCTCGACGATTGGCAACCGTGCCCCCGGAGGTCGCAGCAGTTAGTTTCCCCGGCGCATGCTAGGCGAACGGCCTCTGGTGACGTCCGCGTAGCTCTGAGGGAAGTCACGGTGAGGCGCAGGAGATGGAGATCACCAGCGACGCGGTGTAGTTGCTTGGCCAATCGACAGTTGATTGGCATCGTGGGCACGACGGTCTTCAGAGCGAAAAGAAGCGGGATGAGGAAAGTTCCTGAACCCGGAATCGCTATGACGGCAATAGCGGGCAATGTGACCTGGTTCTCCGCAGCGGAAGCAAATAGGTCGACGGTCGGCCATGCGCCACAAGTCAGTTCGGCGAACTGGTGGTCGTCTCATGGAATCCCGTTGCCACCAAGGTACGGTCGCGGGTCATGGCTGGAAGGGTGTCGCCACAAATGACGGTGGAGGACGACTGACCGCCTCAGCGTAGCTCGCTAGATGTGGCTCAGGACTTGGCGCGGGTGGTGTAATGGCTTGCCTCAACTCCTGGCGGACGATTTTGGCAACAGATGCGACATGCGGTTGGGT